ATACTATTTATTAATGCATTTCTGATTGAACTTTTGTTTCTTAACCTTCTAAATAACAACTAATTACTACCCTATAATGTTACGTTACTTAGTAAACGTGACGTATATATGATATAACCACCAGAATATTATGGAATTGTTTTTTCTTTTGCGTTGTTTTTTGTACGTTTTTTATAAGTTTGACAAAAGTGGTTTTGAAAGTTGGAAAAAAAGCCTTTTAATAGAGTGTAGATAGAGGCATCAACAATTAAATCATCGAGGTTTACGCCTTAGATTGAAAATTTACATGTATCTTATGGTGATGTTATAAAGGGTCTACTTAAAGGTAGTTTATTTTGGGTTTATAACTGATACCGATTGTTGAGTGCGATGAAACATTTGGTATAAGAGGTGGAGGAAGTGGAGAAATAAGAAAAAAAGCAAGGAATTTAATTACTCATCTTATTTTGGTGGTTCTTCCAATTTTTTTTTTTTACCTATTTCATCTTTTTTTTTTCTTCTGCTTAGCCGTTATAATTTTTTTGCTGCTTAATTTTTTTTGCGTTTGTTTGTTTGTTTGTTTTAAAATATAAATCAAAAACAAAAAAGGAATCAGAGGCAGTATCTAAATCAGAGATTAAGTGAATACACTGTTGCATTGATGGATTTTGTTATTGTCGTCGTTGTTATTGTCGTTGTTTACATTTTCAAATTTAATTATTGACTTAAATTGGTTTTTTTTTAAATACTAACAAAACTTTGTGTTTTATGATCAAAAAGTAAAAAAAAAAAAAGTAGAATAAAAAGACAGATATGTAAAGAAGACAAAAAGGATATACGTAAATTGTGGTGTTGCATGTGTGTTACAGCAATGTGCAATAAACTTTTGGATTCTACGAACTGCTGTGAACATCAGGCAGAACTGTACTGTAAACAGTGCCACGGTAGGAAATATGGTCCCAAGGGTATTGGATTCGGTATCGGTGCTGGAGCCTTAACAATGGATACCGGGGAACAGTTTGGAAACAAGGAGGTGGAAATGACGTAAGTTTAATGTAAAAACTACTAACTGTATTAATAATATTTTTGTTTTGTTTCTTTTTTTTAATTTCTTTTCTTTTTCACTAAAAAAAACGCTTATTTTGACATTGACATTATTTTTTTGGTTTGTTTAACTTCCCTGCTTCAACTCCGCAACACGAAAAAAAAAACAAAACAAAACCATATGAGAAGATTCAGAAGATGATGAACAAAAAAAAAAAAAAAAAAAAAAAAATTTTTTTT